GTTTTCTAAACTAACGAAAATTCCGGCACACACGACTCTCTCTCGCTCTCTCGCGCTCGCGCTCACACACGGCTCCCGGTGCTGCTGGCCAGAGTCACATTTTAGTGCGACACACACGGGTGGCGATGCTCCGTGGGGCTACGTTCTCTCTCAGCTTGCCTCTGTCTCTGTCCGCCTTGGTCAACCCTCTATTCCGCCCCTATACGACCGATCCCACTATCCTTCATCCCCCACCAGCGTACAATCCCCTGACGATACACCTTCAATAACAGGGTGGTGGTGGTGGTGGTGGTGGTGGTGCTGGTGGCGGTGGTGGTGGCCATAGTGGTAGCGATGGTTTGAAGTTACATTGGTCACTGTATTTGTTTACATGACTGCTACCACCTGGAAAAAGTTTGTACAGTTAGTACATCATTGTAAATAAAATTGTCCCCATTGATTGGCAGACAATACTGTGGTGATGATATAAGTTTATGTGATGTAAGTTTAATAAAATTTTCTGATCATAATATAATATGCATAGCATTATATTATAGCATAGTAATAGTGATATAATAATATCTACTGCGATGAATTTACTGACATGACGTCAGAATTACTTCAATGAAATGAAAAAAATCGTAGAGCGTGTCAGGTTGATTCCATCACTAGCACCCCCTGAAACACTCCTACCAAATGCTACACCACTGATGCTCCACCATATTCCTCCCTCTCTCGAACGAATGAAACGCGGTACTGTACTATCTCTGGCAGCACCCTGTTCCTTGAAACATTCTACAAATCTCTTCCACAAATAAAACGCAATCTGGAAAGATTAGAGAGCACTGTTCCAATCTGTAGAGAGAATCGAACTGGCCTTCTGTTATTATTTCCCTATCATTTCATTCAAGCTAGATGGATTTTTAACTACACGTGAAATTGTCTATTATTGTACGTAGTATAATTGTCTATTATTGTACATAGTTGTTACTTTCCAAGCAACACGATACCGTTTCAGAATTAATTAATTAATTAGCAAAATCGTCCCTGGATAAGAAGAGGAATAGAGGAATCCAGCCATGAGATCCACCAGTTGCTGTGAATGGTTATCCCGAAGGAATTTTTCCTTCGTTAAATATATAGAACCAGGAGCCAATAAACGATCTCAAACTCAGCGAACGTTGTTGGTTTGTTGTCAACGTTTCGCAGACGATCCTTTTTTAAGCCATGAATTTCATTCTGCCCAAAACTCCCTCACTCTCCCGAGGATTATCGATTGATCACAAATTCCTTTAATATTTCGCTGAAATATTCAAACATACAGAGCGATTGTTTACGAGATTACTACTGTCTGTGGTGGAAAATTGAGATGATTAAAATGGAAAATTTGAACAGATTGATCGAATTCCCAAAGGTCTCAGTTACTCACTCTAAGATTGTTAATGTCACAAGAAAATAAACGATTTTAGAAGATTTCCAATTTCTGTAATTATTTGGAATGGAATTAGAATTATTTTCACGATTTTTAAGTTAGAAATTTACAATCTCCAGAATGGCAAAATTCCAATTTCTAGAGATTGTTCAGATTGTTGAAATTTAGATCAGACAACGTCCAAATGTTTAGTCTTGAAAACCTTCAAATTTCCATTCGTCAAGCACAGGTATTGCCAGGCCTAGAAATTTGCAATATTCAAAATTAAAAGAATTTACAAAAACCAACAATAACTGATGTTCAAATTCTTCCAGTTTTCCCAATTTCTAGATTTCGGAATGTTCATATGTTCAATTTCCAATTTTCCAAATCTAATAAAGAAACGAATCCCTAACATTATTAAAATTAACTAGCCTTGATCTGGACAAAATGAATTACTGGTTTAAAATTAACTTGTTTAAGATTCAGACAATACGACGATGGGCAAGGAACCTGGAACAAAAGTACGTGTCTGTGCTGTCCTCAAAAAAGGGGGCAGCTTATCCCCATCAAGCAAGTCACCCCTGCCGCACTGTGACTTCGAAAACACCCCCGGCTCAATAGTATACGCAGACGTGTTATCTAGATACGTTTATCTAGACCGTGTCTGCCTTTTTGGCCCTAGTTGAATGAAACAGGACTTGTTTTCATCCGCGAATCCATAATAAGATCAGCGAGTGAAGCTAAGTGATCTTGCCACAGGGACTCTGCAAAAGGTACACTATGGCCCACACGAAATTTGATACTATCCCAGATAATCAAACTAAAGAAACTAAACAAAAATGTGAACTTTTGTGGCGTGCAGCCTAAAAACTTAATTGAAAAACAGTTGCCAACACTGTTTAGAAACTAAATTTAGATGAATGGAGAAACGCAAAATCCTTTGCCCAGAAACAAAAGAAAGGTTCCATGTAGAAACGTATTCTTTGATACCTAATTTAGATTGAAATAATAAAACGAGTAGATTGAAAGTTAAATCTGTTCTAATTAGTCTACAAATTATAGGGTTAATTGGGTAGCTAGAATTAAAATAACCAAGTGTAACAAAAAAAATGTTTTTCAAGTGGATTACACAAAGAATTACTATTATGATTGGTTGACTATGATTTTTTCGATATACTTCAATTAGACTCTGTAGACTTTCATAGAAGATACCGTTAAGAGCACGTTAATAAACGTTTGGAGGACAGAAGAGGAAAAGGAACGAGGCGTCGTTCGATCGATACATTTCAGCGTGATAATTATAGTAAATGCATTGAATTATTCGGTCCCGCAGGCTTCCAAGTCGAGTACTTCGAAAACTATGCGGAGGCGAAACGTAACCGGTCCGTCCTGTGTCAGTTTTCACCCCTAACGCAACGATCCCAACAGTGCCGTAAAGAAAACAGGAGCTTTGAGAAATCGAATTTAGAATCTCGAATGTTGTCCGGTAAAATCCTCGTAAGGGATCAACCAATCGATAACAAGCTGGTAAGAATATCAGTCTTGACAATTAATATCATCGTATCTAGAAAATTAAAGCCAATGTATTTGTTCTAATTGAAATATTAAATAAGAGAAAATAATCTTCGATTGACTCAGAGAGTTAACTCACCATGTTTCTACTTCGATTAAAAGAAATCTAGCAGTTGCTTCGTATCCTATGTGATATGTGAAAATTATTCCAAGTATCACTCAATAATCTAATGTTGCAAAATATTTTACGGTTGAATAATATTGTGCAAAAAGATTTAAATTACTTTTGCCTACATTATATTTATCTGGAAAAATTACGTTTTGCATAATAATATATACTTGCATGAAAATTATTCGGTAAGTCGTGTATAAAAATGAAGACGATTGGTGAATTGCCCAGGGACACGTCTAAAAGTACGGCCCTGACTCCACCCCTAGCGCCCATCCCTATGTTTCTCCCACTATGCACCTGAAGGATTCTCCTATTGACGTTCCACCCCTTCTACAGCTCTCCCTCTGCTCCTCTTTCGTCCTTTCCAGAGCACACCCACGCGTACTATCCCTCTTGCGTACCACAGACCATGTTCTGACGTAATATTATTACGTCAAAGCAGCATCGTACGCCGGCGCGTATATGATTCTTCGTTCCTTTCCTTTCAGCCACCTGGAACAGTGTCGTCCAGGAAATTAGTATTAATTAAATTCTAATCGAATTTCGTTTCGATACTCACGGAATTTGTGACTTCTTTTTATAACGTGTAATCCTAAAGAGTAGAATTTAAGAGAATAGAGTTCAAAAATATTTAAAGCACCAAGATCATTATTTTAAAAGTTCTAGAGTATATTAACGAAGCAAAATTGAAATCAGCATGGCGGATTTCGGGGCGCCATCTACCAGTTTAAGAAACAATCAATTTCTGTAGAAATTCAACAGAATTATGAAATTATGTTTAATAATAGCTTTTTCAAAAAATGAAATGATACTGCTTTTAAAAAAATTACCAGCTAATTGTTCAATCGTCGTAAAGAAATATCATACCAAGAAAATACAATATTTAATTATGTATATATATTTAAATATCATTGTGCGTTGTAAAATATTTCCCAACATTGACAAATATCTATGAATATTCCATAATATAATCGATTTGTAAGAACTATATAAGAGCTATATAAAAACTATTCGAAATATTCGTCCATTACAGTTTTGAATAACGTTTCGTGCTAATCAAATATGGCGCGCTTGTTTTGTCCGTTAGCTGCGCAGTAAGCGAAAGATACGCTACGCATATATGTTCAAAGTTGTTTGTGATTATTGAAAATATATACGTATATGGAATAAATATTAAATAAATGATATCATTTATACCGTTAATTGAGAGAAGAGAAAACAAACAAAACAAACACATCTTCGTTATAAATAAATCAAATGTTACTGTACAATCATGCTGTACCACCATAAAAATTAATTAATGAATATAATTAAATTAATGAATACAAAACACAATTAATGATGACGGTTTCTTATTTCTTTTTAATATCTCATTACTTTTCGCAAAATAGGATAAAAGTTATTCTTTTATATCTCGAGTGTGCACAATATGAAATAGAATATACTTACCAGAATAAAATAAAGTGTATATTCATGAATATGACGATTGAAAGTATGAAATTTTTCACACTGAAGTTTTTCGCAGCTTTCAAAAAACGTGAAATGAGATGTACATGAACAAACGTTAGAAAATACTGATCAATATACCAGAAAATTACATTAACGAAACGAACACGGTCCACTTTGCACTTCTTCGAACACAACACATATTTCGATTCTTGCGAACAGTTTCGATACTCGATCTCCATTTTTTACACTCGTGTAACTTTCGATATATCTACAATCGATTTTTGAATTCTTATTACGAAATAATATGTACAATATAAAACCTTAGATTTAAATATAAAATCCAGTTTGTAACGATATTAATTTTATTACAAACATAATATGAGATTGTAATTTTATGTTTTGTCTGTCAACGTGTATTGTCACAATTATATGTTGAGTAATACCTAACCTAAAAAGTTATAGTACAAAGGGAACATGTTACGTCTACTGAGAGACAAAAGATGGATCTGCACAACGTTTTTCCCATTCAGTTCTTCAACCGATGACGATTCCAATGATAAATTCAAAATAACGAATGTTTGGAATTACTGGAAATCGTTTACTTCTTTGACCAATTACAACATATCCAAAGTGGAAAACTTTTGGAGCAAATATGAGAAATATTTTTATGACGAGTAAGAATCATCATTTAATTTAATACGCATTTATTCATTAAACGAACTTTTATTACTGTCATTTATTTTGAACAGGAGGGGCTACCCAACTAAAGAGGTACAATCAGTTGCCAGTGCAACATTTGTAGGTTTTCTGACAGGATTTGCTTTAGGTGGAATATACAACATCAAAGATGTGCCTCAGAAACACAAAGATGAGAATCAAGTTACACTGTATAAAAACAAATTTGTCATGCAGAGAGAATTACAAAGAAGAGTTGAATTTGCTACAATTAAAGGAGGTTTTCCATTTGGCATAAAAGTTGGGCTTTTTTGCTTCTTTTTCTCGTAAGGCTACATAATATTGTATTATACAATTAATGTTACAAGTATGAATTAATATAATGTTCTTTATCAGGAGCATATCTGTATTCTTGTACGTGTATAGAAATTATAAATTCGACATACTAAATCCTATGATTGGTGGTGCTGTAACAGGTTTCTTATTCAAAATGAATATGGGTATAAAAGGATCAATTTCAGGCACTGTAATAGGTACAATATTGGGTACTATTTATGGCTGTATCACACAATTTCTTTTATTTATAACCGGAACTCAGATAGGTGATACTTATAAAGTAATGGCCGATATAATGAATATGAGACGAGAGTAAGTCTTATTTTAGTTAAACTTCAGAATAAAAACTTTCAATATTAAACATTACAATGAAAAAATTGTACGTATTTTAGTGCAATAAAAGAAAATGTAAAGAAGATGAACTCGGAAGAAAAATCGCAAATGCAAATAGTGTATGAGAAGAACTACAAAATGAGAGAAATGATTGAAAGTGAAAAGTAAGAATTTAAAAAATAAAAATTTAATAAAAAATCAATATTTCTTATCTATTACTCTTTCTTCTGTAAATATTATCCAATTATTACAGAAAATATTATTTAATGATATTTATATTCAATAAATACAAGAAAAATATAAAGAATATATTCGTATCGTCCTTAATTTTAAATTAACAAAAGAGAAAGAGCAAACTTTACAATCACACGTCGCATGTAATTCATCTAATAATTTATCTATAATATTCAACTTGAATTAATAAAAATACAATTGTCATTAAGAACAATTCTTATTTACATGCTAACGATATTCTGTGTATTAAATTATAAATGAATATAATGTAAATATAGATTTGAAATCATAGTTACAGAATAGGCCTGATATTTAAAAATAAAGAAAATTTAGTTATTTTCTTCTAAGATTCAAACTATGTTTATATAAATAGTTCTTAAATTATGAAACAAACAATACTCTTTAATTAAAAAAAAGTAAAATAAAGCGAAACATTCATCTTTTAATACAATATGTTTAGGCGACTGATGAGCATACTATATATTTTCATAGTTTAACTCATAGTTTAACTCAATAAATTTGAAAAATATTTCTTTAAATTTCTTGTTCTGAGGTTCCTAAATCTTGAACCTTGGTTAAACGTTTTGCCCCTCTGCCTGGTGGACCCTTAGGTTTCGCAAATTTTGGTTGATGCAAACTGATTTTTGGATGTAATTCCTCTTGTAAAAATCCTTCAGTTAGTTCTCTTCCATCATCTATTTCAAGCTATACAATCAACATATTTTAAAGGAGAATTATTACATTGCATTAAAAACTGGAAACATTATTCATTTTATGAAAAAGAAACGGTAAGAAAAAAAAAATGAAAATCTAACTTGATAGGCCTATTCTGTAAGCTGAATGTTTTAAACATATTGTAAAATCTTAATCATAATTACATACCCATCCAATGATTGATTCACGTGCGCTTCCTAGAAACCTATTAAATTCTGTGTAAATAAATTATAATAGAGAAGTATTTCACATTACTATATCAACAAATTAAAACAACAAATTGTAAGATTAAACTGCATACTGCTTTATTACTTAGCATGTTTAGTATTGGCAAGATACACAATTTACTTGATCATAATGAACCTACAATTATGCACTAACAAGTTGGAAACGAAAATATATTAAAAACTTACAGAATAGGCCTGGTACAATATATTATAAATTGGAATACTCCCAGGCTATAGTGTGCATTATGTTTAAATTTTTGAGCACTTTACAAAAAACTTTCCTTTCTTTTTTCTTCAAAATAGATACATGTGCCAAATTCTATTTGTTCTTCAACACATAAAGATGAGAAAATATTGATAAAAAAATTTAAGATGGAGAGAATTAATTATTTTAAAACAAAGCTTATAAATAATGAGTATATTATATAAAGAACTTTAAATATTTGTAAAACATCAGATGCTTTAAATATAACTTTCATATCAATACAAATGCATCATAAAATATATTCAGAATCAAAAGAGCAACAATTTTTTAATGTATCCAAACAGATTCCAAGAATTTGACACACTTTTTTGTCATCATCTTCATTAAATTAGGCCAAACTCTTTCAATAAGTTATTCATTTATGTTTTGGACGAAAATTTTTAAAAAGTTTATAAAAAGCTACAAGTTAAAAAAATACACATCACAAAAAATAGAATGCCTCTCGAATATCTTGTTTGCTGGCTATTAGATTATAGTCCCATTTGCTATACATCTCGTATTAGAAATGTTTTTTATAGGAAATCTAAAAATATTTTTTAAAAAATAATAGTAACTTATCACAATTATTCTCTAATTGATTTAAATTATTAAATATGAAAATAAGAATCTAATGTATATATTTTCTTGTTTGAAATGTATCTTATCACATTTTGCATCTTTTAATGAAAATTAAAATGATAAAAAATTAAGAAAATAACTGCGTAGTATATAGAATGTGTGTACGTATGTGTGTATGGATAAGTGCATATGTGTATGTGAGTGTTAAAATATTTCTACCTATATTAATTTAAACGCTGCAAAACAATTTTTTTCCGATTGTACAACTAATGGGACATACCAAGATCAGTCTTTATATAATATATATTTGTGGAATCTAATGTTTTGTATCATTTACAATAGTATAGAACATGATATATATAATATATATGTATATACATATATACACATATATATACATGTATATACATATATAATTTAATGTGTATATAAAGTAACTAGTATTATCACTAGCTTATGTCCGAAAATGATGATCATGTGCAAAGAAAATATATCCACAAGTTAATGTGGTAATTCGCACGTTTATCACTCATATGCTATATCTTTTTATTTATATTTCACAGAGAAGTTAGGTGAGTGGCATCAGCTAACTAGAGCACATGGAATTTTCCCTAACTCTCTAATAATCACATAAGGTATGCAGGTTTTACCACAGATATTTTTTTGAAACACTCTACAACTATTTATCACTAACTCCTATATGAGTGTTCAAATGAATTTGAAAGTCAAGCCTTCGAGTTTCGCTTAATAAAATTATTAATATATGAAAAATGAGTACTTAATAATATAATATATATATAAATATATATATGCATATATCACTTTTCATTGGACTAGGAACTAATTCACGCAGTCAACTCACTGGACTTATTTTTCACATCTGACATAATAAACATTAAAAATAACAAGTAAATTAAAGGAACTATGTAGAGAAAAAAATATCTTTATCAGAAATTTTTCATCAGACATTGGAACATAATTAAAAAAGTGCAAAATCTAATAGAAGGCTTCACTTTCAATGTCAAGTAATTAAATCTCATCTCATGATTTTTCTCTTTTTTTTCCCCCCCTTTTCTCACATTTTCTGTATGAATGAACAATTATCCATTACATTATAGTATTGGATCAACAAGAACTGCATCTTATGAAAATTCTATGCATGTGAGTTTCCCATAGTTATCAAAAAGATATTTTGTTAAGATCTTAACATGAAAATTTTGCTCTTTAAAATTTAGAAAAATACATTGTTTGGTCTACTCTGAACTGCTACATAGATATATGTATCACTTTGACCAATTATTACTAAATATCAATAAATATATCGCTAATTAATAAAAGATTTATCTTTGTAAAGATGCACATTAAACATTTTCTCATTTAAATTACTTCGGAATAACTGTATAACTATACTGAGCTAATATCGAAGTCATTACCGAAACCAATTACATCATCTTACATTACATAACACATTCAATCGGTTAATATCATATTATCACAAGTTGAGAATTTACAAAGGAAGATATTAGATGAGTAAAACATCTGAAATATTTTATAACGTTCGAGAAACATTTAAAAATACAGACAAAAAGCATAGAATCGGTTAACTCAAAATACAAGATTTCTTCTGCTTTGACTTTTTCTCGGGTATAGATTGAGGAAGAGCATAAGGCGTTGATGGAGTTGCAGGAGTTATTGCAGCTGTTTCTTTTATGGTTGGAGGATCTTCCAACATGTCTGCCAATTCCTCACCACTATTTACTTCCAACTAGGATTTGTCAAATTTTTACAAAAAAAAAAAAAAAAAGAAAAAAGGAAAAAGAAATAATTTAATCTTAATATTAAAATCCACATGGAAAAAGATAAAATCTAAAAGCAAGAAACACTATACAATGCGATTAAAAGAATAAAATACCTGCTAATATATTAACTCGTAGTATAATTAATATCAACTATTCTTTCTTTAATTTAACACAAGATATATTATTCTTACCGGTGTAATGTAAAATATAATAATGAAATAAAAAATTTAATTATTTAAAAAGCATATAGATTCTAACACAATTTACCAGTTTTGAAATGATCCTGTTAAGACATTCATGCAAAAAAGAACCATTGAAAACAAAGTAAATTAAAAGATACCATCCGTATTGAGAACTTTTATCTACCTACTTACTTTTTTCGTTATAATAACTCCAAGTGATTGAATAAGCTCTAACAAAGGAGCTTTACAAGATGAATATAACATCCTTTCCTTAATACTGCAACTATATCCTGGCATGCTATATATAAAAACTGCAACACCATAAATAATTATTGATTGAAAGACACGTAATACATTATTGATTAAAAGACTGGCATTTTTATTTTTACAACATACCTATACATTCCATATAATCTCCTTCATGGGTGTGCTTGAAATTATAAAGATGGTATCTAGCAGAATCAGATGGGACTTTTGTTGGCAATTTATCCAACGAAACGTCGCAAGCCATGACCAAATGTATCTTTTCCTCTTCTAAGTCGATTTTCAACTGTACATATTCATGTATACCTTTACCAAGCTCTGTGATCGCTTGCTTTGCTTCATCAGTTACAGGAAAGGCAACACCGCTTAACGTTTGATGTCTTGTTTCTACACTATAATCTGTAGTGACCGTGTTCTTTCTAAGCTCTGCTAATTCCTCCTCTGCAGTTGTTAATGGCGCAGGTGCAGCATTGTTTCTTTTGTATTTATGATATCCTTCCAAAGTTATATCCTCCGGCACTGTACCGTGCAATTCCTCCTTTATAGATGCAGTCCCAAACTCTTGCTTCAAAGTTGCTTTGGTCGACGCATACAACATCTTTTGCCTAACCGGAGCAGTGTCTGGTGACCAAGAGATAAATAACCAATCGTAACCAGAATCAGATTTAGTGTCAAGTCGATAAAGGATATACGCAGGTTGATTCTCGATGATCAACGGTTTGATCATCTTATTGTAGTCGTCCTGCCATTTGTTTATTGGCTTGGAAGAAGCAGCAGGTGTTAGTTCCTCTATAAAACAAAGGAACTTATGAAAATATGTGTAAACTGTATGAGATTCACACTACTCACACTAGGACTAGGAAACACTTACCGTTCTCAATGGAAACCTTCAAGACTCGTATCTTTCCATCCCGACACTTGGTGAACAACTTTTTAAGCGCGTCGTTCGCTGAAACCGAACCATGTTGTTATTACCGTTTCAACGTCGCATACACATTTTGAGGTTAATAGCATAGATTTTTGAAAACACGTCGCAATTGACGTTGCAACGCAACGATCCAGTACCTTTGATTCCTGTCTGGTGCGACATGGTTTGTGGAAAACTCAGGGCTCCGCCGAAAATATGGTTGGGAACTAGTCGTGCTCCACCCCTCCCCCCGGACTTCTTCCGATTAACCGCGAACGAACAACCGCCGACCGAATGACTAGAGAAGGATCACACCGCAATCGGAAGCAAGGGACAACCAACGACGCGCGACCTATTCGAAAGAGGCTCTCTCTTCTTCGGGGGGATCCTGTCAACAGTGGATCTCCCGATACGTCACTCCGCGGAGAACAAAAGATCTTGCCGAAAAGTCTCTTGCCTGCAATCGTGATGAACAAAAAAAAAAAAGAAAAAAAGATCAAAACGAGAAAAAGTGGAGGAAAAAAACGAAATAATTTTATAAATAAGAAGAAACCGACGCAACTCACCGATGTAACTTGTCTTTGGAAATATGTACTTCAAAGTCTCGCAGCGCGGTCTTTGTTTCTCATTCGCGTGGATCTGCCGTATCCACCCCTCAGTTCCATCTCCCAGCTTGATCGCGTCGCGTGCACGTCACTTGTGACCGGGATTCACATTTTCACCGCTGCCGCGTTTTCTGAGCCTCGCTTCAAGATCGCCAGTTCGCGACGAGAGAAAAATCTCATTTTGTTTCGTCGAGGAAAGCGGCTGCTCACGTCGTTCAGAGTCTCTACAGTATCATTCGCGTTCGAACGCGTTCGTACACACGCGACTCGAGTGTTGGGAGGGATCCTCTCGAGATGTCGCGCGGCACCGCTGTGCATCAGATGTGTGTTGTGATCGTGCCGATACATCGGGGAAAAAAAAACATACGTACGTGCAGTTTGACAGGTTTCACTTATTTTTGCAATCGATCACACCGGGAGAACGTCGGCCAGTGGTTTTCGAGCGACAACGAAGCTTCGGATAACTGTTATGGAAACCGAAAGGCGATCGGATCTGTACGAAGAATGGAAAAGACGGGTAAACAAAACTCGTCAATAACTTTACGCCAAGTGTTGCAATTCGTTTTGAAGTCGAGACGATGTCCGGATAATTAATTTATTGTCTATTTTCGACATGCGGTTCAAACACCGTATTGCACGTTGGAAATTAAAAATGTATTTATTGTCGGTAAACGACTAACAATGATTTTTAAATATTTGTTTTTTTGATGACTCACTCGCCGATTCGTTGAACGATGTTAATCCATTAAAGATTGACAGGTCTCAGATTAGCAGAATGTCTCAATTACCTTAAGTTACGAAACAACGAAAATGTTTCTATAGTTGAGATGTAAAAATAAAAAGAAAAAAAAAATCTTTTTATTGACACTTAATGTCAAAGGTCATAAAATTAATCTGGTCAATTTCCTGTGTATGTGAATAAATAAATAGCAACTTGATATGGTGATGATGTCCTAGGCTTTTCTCGGCCCACTTCCTCAGGGATTTCTCAGATTGGAAGATCGGAATGCTCAGCAACAACAGGAGGCAGCGGACCAACAAGCAGCACTAGCACTTCACCAGTTACAAATGCAAAACATGCCAGCGATGCAAGAACCTCATGTTGGCAGACTCAGTATTACCATTGTTCAGGTAACTCTATGATTTTTTCGAACATATAATGTTTAAACTTCATTTACTTTTATGAAAGTAGTAATACACGTTCTATAATAATATTTTATTCGTAATTTCAAAAAGATACTTCCTATAGGCTAAGCTTGTGAAAAATTATGGGATGACTAGAATGGATCCTTATGTGAGACTGAGAGTAGGCCACGCAGTGTATGAAACACACACTTGCTCAAACGGAGCAAAAAATCCACATTGGAACAAAGTTATTCAATGGTGTGTAATTTTTGTAACCCTTGCCATCAATCAGTGTATAGATTCATTATCCATCCATTACTTTTCTTTCTCTTTTTGTTATTCAGCTACTTGCCACCAGGAGTGTCGCAAATATATGTAGAAATTTATGATGAATGTTCGTTTGTCATGGATGAATTAATCGCTTGGGGTCATATAGATATTCCATCACAGGTCCTGCAGAAAGGAGAAACACACGAAGATTGGTACATGCTTAGCGGAAAGCAAGGAGACAATCAAGAGGGAATGATAAATTTAGTTTTCAGTTACACGGTAAAGGTTGTTAATTCAATGAAAAATATGTTTAATTTTATAATTGCCAATAAGTTAATAACTGTAATTAACTTATTTCTTTATTTTAATAGACTAAGTGCCATTCGTATATGAATACACCAATTATGATGGTTCCTTCTTCGACAATTTTTGGACAATGTATGACGCAATATGCACCAGTAAATGTTTATACAGCACCACCTACAGCTTCAGTACCACCTGTTCCCAGTTCTATGCCAAATGCTGAAGTTGAATTAAAGCAGGTATTATAAAAAAAAATAATAATTTCATTTTTTTTTCTGCAACAGATCTTGTATAATAACGTATAATTTACAGATTTCAGAGATGTTCCCAAATGTGGACAAAGAGGTAATTAAATCAGTTTATGATGCAAATAATGGAAAGAAAGATGTAACTATAAACTCATTACTCCAAATGTGTGAATAAGTAATTTTTTATGCAAATTGCTATTTAATTCCAAAGGCCATATTTGTATTTTCTGCTATGCTGTATTTCTTTTAAGATGTAATATATTTGCAAATTATCGCCATGCATTTTGTGGTATATTAACATTTAGTGTCTTTTAATACAAGGGAATCTATAGAACATATTGGGCATGGAAATATATTTTTTAATGAAATATCTCTTTTAATCTTTTATATATTCATTGATCCTGTGTTTTTGTTTTCGTTATATATATATATATAGTTGTATACATTTTGTTGTACATAAGTAGCATAAAAAGTTTCAAGTATTCGTTAAAAAATTTATATTTAGATTTTACTATTTATAAAAATAATATATTAATATAAAACAATAAACATGTATATTTATATATTTTTATGTTTGAAAACTTATTAATTACAAAAATATTATACTCACATATGCTTACACAGAATATACCAACAAATATATAAACGTATACAATCAAGTATACAACTTTGATTGAAACACAGTATTCACAAAAATAGAATGACGACTCTCCATTTTCCTATAGTTGGAATAATATTTGTAACTTTTCTATTGAATGTAAAATATATTAAAACTTTCACGGCGGGCGTCACGTTTGCTTAAACATCAATATAACTAAGTAAAAATATCTATTAAAATAATACGTATGATTATTATACCGATATTATAAGATTTTCATAATGATAATTTTAATAATATTTCGTACATACGACGACCACTGCCGTCTTAAGGATTCTAAACGTGCCCAAAATTTCTACTTGAAATATCCTGCCGAGAAAGTGTTAATAAATCTATTAATTGTTAAATGCTTCAATAAATTGTAAAGTACTTTACCATCACCTAAGGTAAATAAAAATTTTTCGACATTTGCTGACGCTTTCATCTCATTTATAATAAAAGTCAACCATGTCAAACTTATTTTCCTTTTTGAGTTTGTAATTATCGTTATTCTTTCTCCATAACCTTCCACAGAAATAAGATATACCAAAAACCACTTAAAATATTTAATAAATTTATAAACTTCATAAACTAACTTGACCAGAGGTAAAAGTATGTACTTTGCCAATGTGGCAAGTATTTTTTTATCGGCTCTGTCAAAAATCTAGCTAAAGGCACCGTTTTGGAAAGTGTCGTTAGGATAGCGTATATTCTAATGCGGCTGTATTTGTCATAAAACGGTGATTTTAGCATGTAAAGCAGCAAAGCAACTCTTCGCCGGAAGAACTCCTTCTCCTCTTCCTTGCTAAACGACATATTTTTCGTTTGATCATTAATTATCTTTAAACTGCAAAAAAGAAAAAGACATTGAATCTTTATATCATTACATAATTCAATCATTTAATGACAATTATTTAACAAAATTTGGTAATAAATTTCAATTTTTACCTGAATAAATCGATAGCAAGCGATAACAACCATGGTGGCCAACGTTTTTCTCTGGTGACAGATATACATCCCAAGTGGAATAATGGTTTTAGAACATAAAGAGTCTAGGAACAAAATTAAAAATATTAATGGATAAGTGTACTTCCACAACAGCTAATACATTGAAATGGACTTGAATGACGTTCTCACCTCGGCTAATATCAAGTTCTTTTCTGATACTGGAGACCTATTTAAATTATCATTATTCTGAACATCAGAAGAAAGTGGTTTCCAAGTGCGCACATATGAATGATTGATGCTTCTTATACTTCTAACAATGGTACCAGAACGTTTTAGTTTAAATCCTTCCCCTAATTTATCACTGTGTGAGTCGTTTAACTTCTCTCTGTTAAGTGGCTGTATGGGAGGGCTTTTGGTTACACGTTCCTTGTAGATATGAATCAACATAAGTCTCAATACAGTTCTGCAAAGGATTTGTTTTTAAATACTGATAATTAAAAGAGAAATATATAAATTCAGAAATATCATGGCACACACTTAAACAATTGTACAACAACGATCATGAACCATTTCCCAGTTTGTCCCCATAATTTCTTTGCGGAGATCTCGATGAGAGCTTCCGTGTACTCTACCACGGTTAGCCATATCTTAATTTTCGTCTCGATCTGGGGAAACTTCAAATTGACACATTTACTACTGCACATCAGCAGATCATTAAAGAGCACTATTAAGTTCGAAGTCGAGTACAACAGTTCCGACACAAAAGTAGAGTTGTTAAAATGACCTGAAAGAAGAAAAAAAGGTTTTGTGTAAACTACAATACAAGAGAGTTGTCTCTGAAAAACCAAAACAAACCAGCTGTGAAGTAAGGTAAACAATGGACCATGTTCTCAATCTCGCACAATAGTTGCGGATTTTCTATGATCCATTTTCTATACGGTTGGATGATTTTCAACACAGAGGAATTTATGACGTCCAATACCATTTTGATCCACTGAATAATCTAATAAAATTTCTTTGCGAACGATGATAGTTAACCCTCCAACATCAATGCATGATCCTTTATGCATTTTTTATAGAACAAAAATCAATCATTGGTCATTTCTGACAGATCAAATGGCAAAAAATATCTGATTTCTTTCCTTTTTTGCTGTTACAGCAACTATTTAGCATAACAAATCTCCTCTTGGACTTTAAACATGCTTACTGCACTTGACTTATCTATACATACTACATTTATCATGTATATATCCTTATGGTATACACTGTACATAGTATATGTATATAGTATAGTACTATATACAGTGTATACCGTAAGGAATTCCACAAGATGTGTCAGAAATATTCTTCATAACAGATATCAATGATGTAATAAATTTAAACAATAATAATAAAAAATAATAAAATAATAAATAAAGATTAACATACCTAATGATGCGTATCATAATTGTTTTAGATGTATATCAAAGTCTATTCATGCACTTTGTATTTATTGATGCATGTTAAATCGAATTCATAATTTCGCGCGTAATATTTTCTTGCGTTTTTGTTTATTAATCTTTCCCGCCTTTTTATTTATTATTAAATTAAATTTTTGTAAAATTAACACTTTTTCATAGGGAACGAATAACATGTGTGTTTTGTGCTTTTAACGAAAATTTCTTCCGGTTTTTTCTGATATATTTGAGGCCTTCTTGAATTTGAAAGATTCGTTGGAGGTAACGTAATATAATCTAATAGTAGATTACACGTGCTTGCACGTAGTGCATGGATATCAGTCATTGGTTTTATCATAATATTATAAATTTTCTTTGTATTGATATTCTCTTTGAATTATGAATGGACTAATAACGAATCAGCCTCAGAACGAGAAAGAGCACGAGGAATATCAATACTTGAATTTAATCAAAAAGGTGATCAAAGAAGGAACAAGGAAAGATGATCGTACAGGCGTAGGCACACTATCGGTTTTTGGGACGCAGATGCGGTTTACTTTACGAGATAGTAAGTAAACAACTCTTTTTCATATTTTCATGAAACAAAGTTTAATTATCCTGAATTGCAACTGAATACAATCATCAATGTGATCTGTTATCATAGACGTGTTTCCATTACTAACTACAAAACGAGTATTTTGGAAGGGTGTGCTGGAGGAATTGCTGTGGTTTATCAAAGGTTCAACAAACGCCAAAGAATTGAGTGAAAAAAATGTTCACATATGGGATGCGAACAGCTCGCGTAACTTCCTGGACTGCTCAGGTTTCACAGACAGAGAGGAAGGAGATTTGGGACCTATCTATGGTTTTCAATGGAGACATTTTGGTGCAGAATACAAAGATATGCATACAGATTATAGTGGACAAGGTAAAACAGTAACTCAGTGTTCCTATATTTAATTGTACAAATTTAATTATCTACAAATATATTTAAAGATTTGTTTATATAGGCATAGATCAATTAAAACAGGTAATAGATAAGATACAGCATTCCCCGAATGACAGAAGGATTATAATGACAGCATGGAATCCAGTTGACATACCAAAAATGGCTCTGCCTCCCTGCCATTGTTTCGTTCAATTCTATGTAAGCAATGGAGAGTTGTTCTGTCAACTTTATCAAAGAAGCGCAGACATAGGTCTTGGCATACCGTTTAATATCGCATCCTATTCTTTGCTAACTTACATGCTGGCACATATTACAAATTTGAAGGTAAATTTACGAGAGAAAGAGAGAGAAGACCCAATGAGCTTTTTAACAAAAATTTGCATTTTTTAATTTATTTCTAGCCAGGTGAATTTGTACATACAATGGGCGACTGTCACGTGTACCTCAATCACATATCCGCGCTCGAGGAGCAAATAAAACGTGTGCCAAAATCATTCCCATGTTTAAGAATCGTCAGGAATGTTGAAAATATAAATGATTTCACAGCAGATGATTTTGAACTGATCGGATATGCCCCACATACAAAAATCTCTATGCCAATGGCCGTTTAAAAATGAAAATTGAAAACGGAGTGCGAACAAGCTTATGTACATTTTTTTTTTTTTTTTCAATCTAGAAGTAAGATTTAACAATTAAGAAAATACGTGTACAATTGACATTAAATCGGTGAATGAATTCATGTAGCATTATCATATTTCAACCATATCTATATTTTATTTTCTAATAAAAATTGTTTTTATTCATTTCTTTCTTTAATAAACTCGTATCTTAATAATTATACACACGCAAAAATATATATATATATATTTTGTAATAATATATGTATATATATATACTTTTTTAATTATTTATATTTATATCAATTTCTATCAGTATCAGTTTCAAAAATGGTCCATACGTGTCTGTTACAGCTTTAACTATAATCGTTTTGCCACACGTCACATCACAGAAACAATCGAATGAAAGAAGATTTTCCAGAAGGATGTAACTGACAAGCATGGACGATAAAAGGCCTTGTGTAAGCAACTTTCAGAATTTAACAAAATTATCTTACTTCTACAGATGGTATTAAATCCAGTACTGTCTTAAATCATGTATATAATTATCCATTAAAGATATTGTTTTCTCGCGTGACTACAGAGGAAAATAAAAATGTTTCTAATGTTCTAAAACGGTATCTTAAACGAACATGTTACTTTTAACTTGTTTGGTTTAAAAATAATCAAAGGCATTTAAAAAATGAAAAGGAGAGAAGTTAAGGAAATTTTCTGAATATTCAGGGCTAGCACATCTTTGCATCATTAGATGATGAAGTACTTAATTGATGCAGTTGCTGAGTAATGGCCAGAGTACCGCTTTCATTTACTGTAATGGTTATCCAAATAACATCTAAGTTAAAAAAAAAGGATTATTACTACAGAAAGAATACCACAAATGTACAACAAGATAAAGGATTTTACCTCCGAAAAAGGTTTCTGTAGACTTTATCATCATCCTCCATTTACTTTGAAATGTACCACAATTTGGAGGACTCTGAAGATCTACATTCACTTCAGTTATCTCTGCCGGACCTAGTGATGGTACTGGTACTCTTGTACATGCTCCCATTTGTATCCCTCCTATATACTGTAAACAGATTCCATCAGGCCATGCTTCTGTACCACTGTTTTGTACATGCCATGATTTTCGAAACTTAGTGAGGGGTGGTATTGATTCTCCTTCACCGATGGTGCTGTCACATACCAGCATCATACAAGGAAACTTATTTTGAATCGGAGATTCAAAGTCAAAGTAGCTACATATCGCTGCTTGGAGGTTCCTACAATTGTATGTAGATTATTTACACGTATACATACATTTATTTTCTCTACGCTTCATCAACAAATGATGATTTTTAAAACATCATTATTCTTTTTTTATAGTTACTTAATGTTCTAATGGAGCAGTCGCTTGATTGCACGACGATTTACTTAACAAATAGCCCTACGCCGTACATAACTCGAAAGAATAAAAGCGTGATATGACTGCGAGCTGTCAGTGGTGTAAATAAGCAAAGATGGATAGGACAGTACGACACGTAAACATGGCGACGGTAGGGTTAGGTCGGGTCGACTGAATCTGATCAACGTAAAACAGGTATAAGTGGAGGGATGTCTTACCAATTATTCATATCTAAGAAGAACTCAGCGGTAGTTTCATTGAGCTGGCTGCCAGCCAGCAGCTTTTGCAGCTGCTTCACCAGATCATCCCTATCGGTTGTGCCTAGGCAACTAAACTGATGAATCAAATGCTGGTCCACGTTGTCCATGTTAATATATTTCGTTTCTCGTTCAATACTCCATGTAACGGAAACTGTCACACCGCGAATCCGCAAGGCTTCTCTGTTCTATTATCGTATGATCTTTAACTGCAAATTTTAAATGTCATTCTTCATGACGTTCATCCGTGCGCAGTGGATACATGCATCTACACAGTACACTCGGCGCAAAAAGTGTAACGATTGCGAGTACAGTCCGTGGATGGCAAAAATTCAACTTTGTCGATTTCCGTCTCTTTCTCTATGCGACGTCACCTTGACCCTGAACGCTGCTAGTCACACGCCGTATCTTTATAGCGGGTAAATAAATACGCAAAACGGCCGTCGATCTCTTTTCAAAATCGACTCGTCCGCTGTGCCAACGCGGTTGTACACACACGCAAGCTTGGTTGCATATATGCAGGGGCCAAACGAGTTCTTTTTAATTATCTTATTACATTTTTATCTTAACGTTATACATTATATAGAAATTAAAAGACATTTTCTATGTTATTTAATATTCAAATATATATATATAAAATTGTATATTTATACAATAAACTTACTTTCGTACATATTTGTCATTATAAATGTTTACATACAATATAGTTACGATATAAATATATTTGAATATATGTATTTAATAATTAATTATTCTGCGTCCCAATTAGATTTCACAGAATCCAGACGTTAGAAAGAAACATTAAGTGAGAAACTGCGAATAAAATGTAATACAAAATGGATTAATAATGTCTGTTAATATAGCTTAGAAATTTATAATATTTAAGTATACAGATATTTCCCGGGGATTCGAAACCAAAACTTCGGATATTGGCTTTTTGAAAGTTCAGGAACGTCACGTGACCTGTAGTCCGGTGTTTTCGACAAGAATGACTTATAATTTTTGCTGCCAGAGGAGCTCGTTTGTGTCAATGCTCCCATCTATTGCAACGAAATTTTCTGTTCCAGCTACGTGTGCGCCTGAGACTTTTAAGCGCCAAATTTCTGTCGGACTGCGCATGCGCCCACGTCCCCTCCACTTGGACCAGGGCTCGGGGATGTGCGCGCATCACGCCGCGTAACAGTTGAAATACGAAAGAGAAGACAGTCGGCGGTCCGAAGTTGATCATGTAGATATACCAAAAAAAAAAAAAAAAAAAAAAGAAAGAAAGAAAAACGTCTGATTGCAAGGTGATCTCACGTACAAAGTGGGCGAAAAAGAGCCGTCGATTGAAAAGGGGAGTGCCGGTCCGCAATGAGACATCATTAAACCCCGTGAACTACGTTGACTACGTTATTTAGTCGCGAGCCCCTTCGCTGATAATCTCCAACACCCCCTCTTCTATTCTCACGGACAAAAACACGAGGCTCGTGCATCGATGAAACGTTCAACAGCCCTGGCATGTTATTTTCATGTTGACATTAGGACATCGTGATGAAAGTCGGAACGTGCGCTATAATTAACAGTTCCGCTAGCCCGACGATCGCGGAATAATTCGTGACAGATCGATCTCGCCGAAATCAAGATTCCCTAGGGAGGGTCAAGGTAAGTGTAAACATATATGTGTAGATATATCGATATATTGTGGTCAGTTTGAATCATTCATTTGATTTCACCAATCCAGCTTTGATTATTTCTTAAGTTTCGTTAATCAAGTCGATCAAGGAGGGATCAAGCAGTGAAATAACACGCGCGAAGTGTTAGTCTCTGTTCCATCGAGTTACGAAAGATGCACTGAAAGAGTAGACGTACAGCCGAAGAAGCCCGCCGCACAGACTGAAACTACAAAATGTTCGTAGTACGAAAAATGAAAGTGCACGAGTAATTGAAAATTCGTGCAAAATTTATACGAAATTGTCTAGATCTGGATGGAAGAGGAAATTTCCCACTAAATTCCGTCAAACTCTTTTCCACGATTGCAATATGATCGGATAAATTAATTCGAATGAAAAATCACGAGTAAAGTGTTACATTAACTTACATAGCTGATTATTAACTTAGTTAATGCCTTGCATTGTTTCAACATTTCTGTATTTCTTATACGGTTCCGATGAAGTTCCGATGAAGTTCCGATGAAGTATTTCGATGCATGGTTCAAGCCTGATATTAACTAGTTTAAATTACTTGTTCACTAATATACTTGTTTAAATTAATACTTCTGACTTTATAAAGAGCCTGATATTAACTTG